AACCGGCAAGTCAAGAAACAACCAAAAAAAACCAACTTCGAAGAGCGACCTACTCCAAGTTTTGAAGCAAGAGTGGGCGAAAATCCCACAATCTAAAATTGACGAGATGATTCTCACGATGCCCCAAAGGATCAACGAACTGCACGAAGCAAAAGGAAGATCTACTAGATATTAATTAAATGATAAATATATCAATTCATGTGAATATGACTGAAAAATTTCATTTTTTCTGAAAATGTGGTGTCTGTTTACTTGTGACCATGCTATGTATGTATATACATTAATACTATTTACAAATAATTTCTTAAAACTTATTTTTCTTAAAACATAGAACAGTAAATAAAGAAGTAAAGCAAACAATTATCTATTTTATTTACAACCTTTGTACTCAGTTGCTGCCTTTAAAAATTTTGCACATGGAGGATATGAAACAATACTTTTTTTAGGTTTTACTAACATTCATCTAACATTTGAATAACCAAGAAATTATAAATTACTACATTAATACCACAGAATTCCACTATAATTTATAAAATTTAGTAATTAAGATGTATTTTTGTCTAAAAAAATATGAAATTTTGAGCAGACTAAAGACACACCCTACCTTGTTGAAATACTGGTTCAAAAGAAAGAATTGGCGCCAAGTCTGTTAAAATATAGAAGTAAGTGTATATAAGGGAGCGTTTCCAAAAATGGAAAGAGGTGGGTGGGATGCCACTGTGTTTGATTTATTACATGAGTAATATCTTAGCAAATTGAAAATTTTAAAATACAGAAAGAAACAATCTTTCTTGACTATTGAACCTACTGTATATATATTGGAATGCTTCATACTTTTATGTGCTGTATTTGGGTTTCTTAACCACAAATTAATACAAAATCCCATTGATTTTTAAAATATCCCATTGCAAGCAGCTGAGAGGGACACAGTGTCACATCAGATTACTCTGCTAGCCTGACTCCTGAATGTGTATTGAAAACCATAAGATGTATTAGGGCAAATTTTGGGGTGTTTTAATAATTGTTCCGAGAAGGTGTTCAATATGATTTCCATTACTCCACATC